ACTTGTGTTAAGCTTATTACTCTGAAATAGTAAAGGGTAATGGGTGGTTTCACAAGTCCAGTGAATAAAAGAGAGGAATCTTGAGAAAATACTCTCTTTCATTTGTTCATCAGTAGGTGGCTCTTGGAAATATCCAACTAGTCTAGTCCCCAGGTCTCTGATTTATTTACAAAACCATCTGCTACTGCCATAATGTTAATATAGGGACTATAATCACTTTTTATTTCTTTACTTAGAGAAGTTTTTTGCTTTGGAAAATTCTCAGAAGTCTCTGGTCTGGAAATATACTGCAGTAATCCAGATACCAGACCAAAATAGACCTTGAGTTGGCCATGAGTATACATGAGTTGGCATGTTGTATACACGTAGGGATGAATTGGATCATAACCGAGGGGAACTGGAGTACCACTGTCTCCCCTTTCAGGGGTTATATTTGGAGCATATCTTTAGAGCCTGACTACTTTGGTAGATAATTTTGAAAATAATCTTTCACAAGGTAAGTCCCATAAATTTGATAATTCTCATGCAGATTTAAATGCTTTTTCTTTATCTAGATGAATTTAAAGGCCACTCATTGCTTCAAGCTGCACGGGAAGCTGATGTTACACGAATCAAAAAACATCTCTCTCTGGAAATGGTGAATTTTAAGCATCCTCAGACACATGAAACAGCATTGGTAATAATTCAGGTTTAAGTTGTTAAAATAAAATATCCAAAACCATGCTAAACTGATCATAATGTCCTACTTCTTTTGATGATACAGGATACCTAACATAATATCCTACTTTTAATAATAGCATTGTTCTTAAAATGTGTGCTTTTTAAGAATTAATGCCTACAGATATAGAAAGAAAAAATTTTGAATACAGAAAAATAAACCACCTTATCCCCTCAAAAGGCAGTACTGTTGTTCATTTGGGCAGCCTTCCAGAGAAAAATTTTGCTCACATACTGCCATATATGTAACTTTTATTATCACAAATTGTACGTATCATTTACTTTTTTCTTACTATGAAGAGTATAGATGTTTATGATTGAAAATTTGGAACCCACTGAAAAATAAGATAATCCTGCCATCAAGATAAAAACCAGTTAATTTTCCTTTCAGTATTGTAATTTTTTTTCAAAATCAGATCTGAAGTTTGCATATAGCCCCTCTGTACTGTGTGAATAAGGTATCTGTGTGAATGGTAAGGTAACATCACGTCCCTGAGAGGTCATACCGGCTCTGTGGAGCTCTAACAAAGTAGGCAAGGGTGCAGCGGCCTGTGGAGAAGCAGTCTGGACAGAACGGAAGTGAGCAGAGGTAAGGGGTGGAAGCTAAGAAAGGGAATGATGTCATCACTGGCCACCTTAACAGTAGAAATTTAAAAGGAACAAAGCTGTATGAGTTTCAGAATGTGCTTCGGGTGAGGGAAGATGACACTAAGTAAGTTAATGTGTTGGGGCAGATTTAACTCCTAGTAGCCTTACTTATCTGATATCTTTATGGTAAATTTTCTTCCTTATGCCATGATATAAACTCTGAAGCTTATGTAGAAACCTATCTATAAGGCATTTTAGATCTTTTTTGCTACTTGTAAAAAAAAAATCCATGTTAAAAAAAAGAGCAAAGTTGCAGACTGGTAAGTGCCGGTGCAAAATTAAAATCATAACAGTATCAAGGTGGTACAGAGAAACTTGGAAAAAACTGATGGGGAAAATTTTCTGGTCTGAAAAGTTAATTCTACATTATTTTCTCCTAAGTTCTCTACTGTTAAACCACTCATCTTTTGTTACTAACTTTAACACAGACAAGGAGTTAACTGTTGGTAGATAGTTGTGCTGCAGAGACAGTGTCTTCCAAGTTTCCAGCAATCACGGGTCCTGCCTGTAACAGGATGGGGCAGATGAGTAAGGGTTTAACTTGAGATGGATGAGCTCAAGAATTCTTGGGTATGAACTATTTCCATTCTCTGTGCCATCCTGATAGATGTCCTGGGATGATTACTGAAAACACACCAAAGGAGCTATGTTCACCGGTTAGAAATGGTTTTATTGAAGTCAAATAAATGATTCTGGTGGCAGCAACAACATCAAAGAATGAATCTGAAACAGAGATATAAGGATCAGATAAGCTTTATGATGAACAACAGATTAAAATCAGAGAACAAATTTGATATGTGCTGAGTTTAGATGTATGGTGCAATTTAGCTTGATAATTATCCAGAACTTCTATTCCATGAATTGTCAGTTTTCAGTTTTAACATTCATACATTGATTTGGTTATTCACTCATTCTGACATTTATTGAACACCTGTTGTTTATGAGTATAATCCTGGATGTTGGGGGTACAAAGATCTGGAACATGACCATGAGATGCTTAATTAGGTTCATAACCGGCAAATCCCTACCTCGTGTCTCCTTTCCTCTTTGATACATCATAAACATAGATCCTGCAGCCTCCAACTGAGCGTGTATCATTTTCTGCCACTGATTTTATCAAACAGGTAATCCAGGCTTCTTATTCTGCTAAAACAACTCACTGAGAGAGAAATAAATACTACCCAATTTGTCAGCTATTCTGTCGGTGTTTTACCAGGCAGAATCCAGCGCTGATGAATACTTTGTTGTTTCCTCATGTAATGAAATCCCAGCCATTGGAGTGTTTTATTAACCTTTAAAAATAACATAAGCATCGTGTTATATGGGAACAGTTTTGAAAGGACTATTGGTCACAATTTAAGTTTTTCATCATAGCAGTAGTAGCTTTTTCAGAGATGTAGAATAAGTATAAAGCTTGATCAGAATATTTAGTAACATATCCCTTGGTAGATAGGATTTTCCAGCCCTGTCAGAATTTAGGGATCATTGCACATTCTATGAAGAGCAAAGTTAGGTCAGAAATGAAACAAAGGTGTGAAGTAACTCCTTGATTGTTCTTGATTGGAAGCACAAATGTTCTTAAATAAAAACCAGTTCTGTATAGTCCTTGATTAATGCTGCAATTTAAATTATTTAGCATTGTGCTGCCGCGTCTCCATATCCCAAAAGAAAGCAAATATGTGAACTGTTGCTAAGAAAAGGAGCAAACATCAATGAGAAGACTAAAGAGTAAGTATGCTTTTAATAATTAAAAATTATTGACATTTTTATCTGTTGGAAAATACTTCATTGTCTGGCTTTTTCTCTTTAAGATTCTTGACTCCTCTACACGTGGCCTCTGAGAAAGCTCATAACGATGTTGTTGAAGTAGTGGTGAAACATGAAGCAAAGGTATACTTCACTTTTGGTAATCTTTGGTAATCCAGTGAGTTACTTTCTTTTTAGCAGATGAAATGCCTGACTTCCTAAACTATTTACTCTCTCCTAAGTATTATTTTTTTCCTCGAAATAGTCCTGCAGATACTTTTTTCTCTATCTTTTTGCTAAAAAGTCTATGGATTTACTCAAAGATGTGTTATTCCTACATATCCTTCCTTCTCCCTTCCTTTTAACCACACCACACTGGGTAAATATCCTTCAGGTCTTTTTCTAACAGTACACTCTTGAGAATATCCCTAGCCAGAGACATCCATATTCTGACCTATCATCTTTTCCAGGATTCTCTTCTGGTATCTTCTGTTCCATGGTT